GTTTAGCTTCACCCGAATGACCTATAAATTAGTGTTAGCGTTTACTCTCTCATCCCTACCGGTATTAATAGATCGCGCACGCTGCCTTAGAATTTCTACCAGTTTCTCGCTCTCGATACGACTGCCTGGAAACAACTTGAGCTGAGTGAGTAAATGAAATTGACAAACGTTAGTGTGGAGTCCGTTGCACCAATGTTCAACCAAATAAGCACAGAAGACCGAGAAAGACGGTAGTTTTGTACCTCAACATACCCTACAGTTACTGCTTTGAACATACAGTTTTCTCACAACAATAACTCATCAAGGATTCCCACTTCGCAACGGCACGTTGAGAGATCCTCAACGCACGCTGTATGGGCGGAGACACAGACGGCTCGAGCATGCGAGTGTGAATGTTCGCGCGAGAGAACGTGTCTAATCGGGCGAAACTGCGCAACGTGGCCGTTGAAAACTGCGCAACGCAGGGTTGACTCTGTTCCCACTCAGCGTGAACCCGCATCTCACTAGTTATTTATCACATTTTATACTTTTGAGTATAAGATTCATGCTCATTCTGCGTCGTAACCAATCTCTGGTTTGGACTGGATTGCCGATAACCCGTCAGACACGCCCAAGAACAACTTTAGTACGAAGTTCCAGTGAGCCCTCTCTAACAATGAGAAGCCTTTCCACAGTATAAATAACAGACAAGCAATGCTGATGATGACTAAGGGAACGCATACAACGGCAAACAGTTTACTCTCTATGTCAAGGATGTTTAACACGTTGACGACAACGCGCGTTTTGGGTTTTTGCGCCGCGTGGGACCACGGCGATTTTGCAGGCGCCGCCGCCTCACATCAAATCCGTGAATTTTGAGCTTTAAATACGCAAAACTCGGATGCAAATGTTTTGAATGATATTCGATGTGTCAAACTTATCAGAAGGAACAACTGTAAAAGTCTGATCGAACTGTCTTCAGGGTGTGAAGCGCATGCACTGCACAATGTCGTCAACATCTTAATGAAACGCTCGCTCTGTCTACTGACTAGGCTCAATGTGAATATCTGGCCGGTCTCAAGGATCTCCACTTGGTGTTAGATGTACTACAAGGAAGCTTTGGTTGCCAGGCCAAAAGGTTATGAGAGTACAAAAACGACAACATACCCATACTGCTTCAAGCTATGCAGTTTTCCGACAGAAAAAAAAACTGTTTTGAGTCCTCATGCATAACCTTATAGGAGAAGAACAAGAATAAAAAGGAAACCTTTGTGAGAAAACGTGTTAACTTAGGACGGATGCTCATAGTTTGTCTCCGGCAAGTCACCGTTTCTACATGCTCTTAATGTGCGGCACCACACTTGTGCGGACAAGAAATCGGTAGGGAAGAAACTATCCACAGTTACACAGAGAATATGTCATGCGAAGCATACCTTTTTCTATGTAGTTACGAGGAACCCAGTCAGCGTGTGCATCGAAAAAGTTGGCTTGAGAATTTGGAGGAGGAGGCAACGGTTCATCTTCATGAGTTGAGTTCAGCATCTGCATCGCCGGAGGGGGAAGATCTGTAACTGTAATAAATGAGAAAGAAGTATGTATACACGTGTACAACAATAGTACTATTGAACACAGCGATTTCAAAAAGTACAGAAAAACAAACACACAAGCCTCAAAAAGAAGACTAACCATCTGACTTCGTGAAGCCGACATAGCCGTAATGCGAACTGAGCTGAGGAGGAGGCAACGGAAATCCCGGTGATTCAGCCCTTTCTTCATTAATCACACTACCACTTTCACCTCGAACGGATGGATGGAGTCTCAGGGTTCCTGAAAGCAGCGTCACTGATTTTTTTTACGTCCGTTCAGTTGACAACAACCCCAAACTTCCCTAGGTTTTGCGCATTGTAAGTTGTATTCAAGGACCATCATATTCGTCACTGTTACCGGTTTATTACTGTCGATAACCACGAAAATGAATACCACTGAGTTAGCAGCCATTACTAGATTTAGGGTGATTACCAAATTTGGCTGAAGTTCAAAATGCGCAATAACGTGAGGATGGGAATGAAGCTCGTTCTCGTCGTGTCTACCCGATAAAAAGAGCTACTTGCTACGCACTTGCCAGCGCTACTACGTGCCCGAAAATAAGCTGATATCGATCCTTTTGACGAAAATAAGTATACCGTCGCTACTCACATCCGATGTTGAAAAATTATTACACTCTATAGCAAAAATCTAACTCAGCGTATGCACTAATTTGAGAGTAAAAGCTCACCATATCTGTCTTGCATACTAATTCTGCCTAAGTCGGAGGCTCCATCTGACAGAACACTACCGTCAGCGCTCCCTCTTACATTCATCTGAGCAAATTTCAGCTACAGATTGTTGAGTAGAGAAACGGGACCCATTGACATGTATCGCTGATGATCCATCAGTGGCATAACCTAAATTGAAACAATCATCCCAGAAGTAAATTAGTGGGGAAAAGAAAAAAGTCTAACCAGCGGAACTCTATACTGCTCCTGTGTATTCATGTTCAAATGACCACTGCGCATCGAAGAACGACCCAACTGAAGGTGTGACATTTCAAATGTAAAGGAAGAAAGCAAAAAATCGTGCAAAAGATGTGCAAAAAAACTCAACAGAATTAGAAAGAGATAAGAGAATATAACAGCAGAAATTAAGCTACAAATGCTTGAAGAACGTAATGTGTTCGTCCGATGTTATGCTGGGCGCATCCGTAACTGGAGCGGTAATTGCAATTGAATAAGGTTGTGATCCAGAGACGCTTGAGGCGGCTCGAGACACTAATCCACCACGATGTTGAGGCACCTTCAAACAAAAATCTATGGTAAAGAAGAGCAAGTCAAAAAAAATAAAAGCCAACCTCACAACGAACACCATGTCCTATTCCATCCAAAACAGAAAAGTCTATTGGTGCACGTCTGTATCGTTGAGGCGGTTCCTGCAAACCTTATGGTGCTTTAATAGGATAAATGAAAATAAAATAAAACCTCCTACCTGAGCAGCAGGTGCGATTATCTTTGGCTGCTTCTGGATGGTTTTATTTGTCGTCAGCGCGCCGATTTCTCTTCGTGCAAGCTTTTCTTTGTGGATATTAACAACCTGAAAGCATACACTCCTTTGGGACTATTGCACATCTAGCAACAACTACTATTCCAAAATATTATGGACTAGAAATGAAAAAGGAAAACTGCCCACAAATCTTAACTGTACACGTACCACATCTATATTTTCCACTTGACCGCTCAGATTTGAAATTTTATCGGTCTGTAAATCCAGCATATCCAACAAATCCCTGAAAAAAAGAACAGCTAAGGCGACATAGTTGATAAGCGACGTTATGTTTTCACCTTGCAAGAGTATTTATCTGATACGCAACACTGGCGAGGGACTGCAACGCAAACTGCTTTGTTTCCTCAAACGACGCATTCCGATCCTAAAAGTATATGGCTGTCATGGAGAAAACTTAAAGGAAAAATTAGACAGAGAAAGAACCCCAACTCATTGATAAGAACAATTTTCTTATTGTTCGGATCGTACGGAAAACTTAAAAATTAACAACTTGTCGACAACATTACCAATACTCAACCAGAAGCCTGATTTTACAATCAGGACTGTGATTCCTTCGCCCCTCCCTTTACATCCATAACCTCCTTTATTAAAATACTTTCATGCCTTCATATATTTTTATGCCTTCAGAAGTCATGAGAACGTCCCAAGGCGCGTAAACATCCTGGTGTGTGAAGAGCTAGGAAACGTTTATGGTTTACTTTTTATTCCTTCAGACTTTACGAATCAGAACCTACTCGCGAAACAACGAATATGCTTAACGATATAGGTAGGGTTTTGCAGGAATCAATTTGTTTAGGGATGAAGCAATTAAGTTCTAAATAGAATGGCATTTGTAGGTTTTTTTTGTGAAACAGTTTGTGTGGTCTGATAAATCAATAATATGCAAGCAAGTACAAAAATAACGAAATGGCTCAAATATGCTCACTCACCACGGCGTTGAGGTAGTTGGCCTCGCAATAAGCAGCAACGTTTTCTAGATTCAGATGGCTGGTTTCCAGATGCGCTCTATGCTCAGGAATGCGTGACTCGATGAGCGTCCGCAGGTCGTTCCCGGCCATTCCACCTCCATTTTCATCTAACATCATCGTAAACTAACGTTCGAACAGCTTCGCCACATGGAAACGTTGACAAAAAGGTCGATAACAGCAGCAAGCGATTAGAAGCAGCAGTCACGCCGGAAGTCTGCAAGTACACTTAAGACACCATAATTTACGCCAATAATTCTAATCGACGTT